AAAGGTATAAATACCTTTTTTTAAACGTTTTCTTTTAAATATTAAGCTTTTTCTGCATTTTTTTTAGCTAAAAGCAGCTACCATTCAGCTAATAACATATTCAGCTTTTTCTGCATTTTCAGCTAAATTCAGCCATAAATGTTCACAGTTTACAGCATTACCACGGCTTCCACAGATGACATTTTTTAATGGATTTTTTGTCAAAGCACTTCAGATATTCATTGCTATCCGGATGTTAAGAGCATTCCATGGAATATAAGTGTATCTCGAGCCGGTTTCTCAAACTTACCTACCCCACCTTTAAATAATGTCTTCTCAGCTATCTTAAATAACCTTCCCAACAGCACTTGGTGACTATATAACACTCTCCAGTAATTGTCTATTTAGGTTTTTGGGATGATTATGAGACTAATATTATTTACTGTTTCTGGTCTAAATAGATTGGTCAGTGTAACACTAAACCCAGGTTGGGGTTTTCGAGGGCTGCACGATTTGGGGAAATAATCTAATTGCGATTTTTCTGACAGCGATTCGATTTGTGATATTTGTTTTTAAGCGACCCAATGGAAGTTTATTGTAAAATGCAGCCATATCTCCGGCTGGGAAGGTCGCATCAATGTGCTCCCGTCTCTAGTACCCCCGCAGCCCGCATAGCTGCGGGAAGTAATTTTGCTCAGGGGGTGCTGCCAAAAGTGGGGAGGGAGCCGCTTAAAAAATAAAATGTTGAAGGTGGTGCCGGGCCAGGCCCGGCTGTCAGCGATACGAGCCACATACATTGTTTGTTAAAGGCGAGACACGGCAGGCAAAAACATCGTTTTTCATGCACTGGTCAATTTTGAGATGTTGTGCTATTTTGATTCTATAACATGTTTTCTTTCAGGCTTTTGGAAGGAAAACGTACAAAATACACATTTAAGTGTTTGTCTTACTATAGTTTGTCTATTTGCGTCTGTATATTTCTCCTAAATTCACCAAAAGTTAGCATTCTAACGTAACATAAAGTACCGCGATCGCTGTGTGCACCATGTCAACAGAGGTATCGCTGGAAAGCTGTGTCTCTCCTACACAATCTCATCGGATCCAAATATGGTCATTTCCTTTGTATCAGCAACCAATCGTGAAAGCACAAAGGGGTCTTAAACCAAGAAACGAAATCTCATTGGCTGGTGTCAACTTCTGACAACGTGATTCGTTCAGATGCATCACGTGGTGTGCTAAAACACTTCCTGGTTAGCTTTCCGCTAGAAATTTAGATCTCAAAATGGCAAAAAAACGGCGAAAAAAACGTTCACAGAGAAGACGACAACAATTGTCACTTGCACGAAGCAAGGTTATACAAAAAACAAATGACCCCGAACATGAAATACCTTCACAGAGTGCATTGATGCGCAAGCTGTCATCCAAAGAACAGGAGGGTTTAGCTAGCGCCTCACTGCAATCTTTAAAGGTCGTTTTCTCAAAATGAGTTTTTTCTCCTACTCTGAGTTCGAAATGTCCACTTCAGTTGCACTTACATACACCAAACCTTCCAGTTATATTCCTATCAATATTATGAAGGCTTTTACAGAAGGGTTTGTTCAAATTCATAGCCTGAATTATATAAGATGTTATACCTAGAAACATGGCGAACATTGATATTTTAGGGCTGTTGACAGTATTTTCTGATTTATGGAGTGATAAAAAGAGATATCCAAAATCCCTTCTGTAAAAGCCTTAGATGCTAATATGACTACAAAATGAAAACGAGAATTTTGAACCTGGCTTTATCCAAAGTTCAGATTTCGGTTCCTGAAATGTGTTAAAATATGCGCATATTTAATGAGGTAATGGCTCATTTGCATATTCAGAAAACTTATAATATAATAAACTATTGCCTTATTGTAGGTAATTAACTGGAGAAATTACCCTATTCACCTGGGGTGTCTCGCCTTAACTTTAATAAACCATTATAGACCTTAGCAACAGCTGCACATGCCCACATGCTAACTATGGGTCTTACAAACCTACATAACATTACAAATAGTTCAGAAAATATTATTTACAATATTAATAAAACTATGAATTCAATTTTAACTGATTGACTAGGCAAAACACTGCACAGCGGCAGCAGCATTAAAGGAAACATATCGTCTTACCTTGTGTTGGGGCTTCACAAAACTCCAAATGTAGCTTGGGGTGGCACTAATGAAGACCCTCATTAGAGCAGATACATCCACATTGTCCAAAATGTTACTATGGACATGCATTAAAGTCAGATGTGTCAGTCTCTTCTGTGTCATATTACTCTAGTTGTAGAGGTGGTGGGCTGAGGAGTAGCTGGTGGTCCACTCTTTTTATTGGGTTGTTTGTTGGAGAAAAAAATCCAAAATCCTTTTTTGCGCCATTCTAGAAAGTTGTCACTCTGCAGTGTGTGTGTCGCGTCACTCTCCCACGACCTAGATGACTTGGATTTTATTTATTTGGAAAATAAATTCAAGCCACCTGACTGATACAAATATATACTATGACTATTATATGCTACTGTATACAGCTAATTTTATTTTAAGTAAAATCATAACTATTTTATGCAGTTTAATCATTTTTATTTAGGTGGTCACTCAGTTTTTCAAATGTACACCACTCGCCAACAGGGGGTGCTGCAGCACTTCCCGCGGCTATGGCAGCCCGAGCTACGAGTGAAAGAACTAAACTTACATGAAACTTCCGTTGGGTTGCTTTAAAGTCAAGCTTCAGTTTAAGATTCACCCTGTAATAGATGTAGAACATGTGATGGAGCATTACTAACCTGACTCAGATGGTAGGGCTGTGCAATTAATCGTATTTTAATCGCGATTACGATTATGGCTTGCGACGATTATGAAAACAGCATAATTGACAAAATACGATTATTTTGCTGGGTGCGCTTTCGCCCCTCCCTAAAAGCCCACTCGGCCACATGGGAGTGACATGTGTTGTGAGTGTTCAGCGAGAGCGAAGATGTCAGAACAAGAGCAGCAACTCGTTAAAAAGAAGGGTAAAACTATTTCCACTATTTGCAAGTACTTGCCATTACATTTCACATCGCTAAAGATATGTCCACTGTTAGCAACCAGGGCTTTAAGCAACTTGTCAACACGTTGGACAAGCGTTACGCGATGCCGTCTCGGTATTATTTCAGCAGGTCTGCGCTGCCTGCGCTATATGACAAATGCCGTGGGGAAGTTGAGAGAGATGTGGCTTCAGCTGACTACTTTGCTACCACAACAGACCTATGGTCTAGCCCAGGGGTGCCCAACCAGTCGATCACGAGATGTGTCTAAAAATAGAACAACAATATTCTGTTTTATCGTTAATGTCCTGTAACATAATCTTCCTGTGCCAGAATAATGCACTTGAACGCATCAAAGCTTTGTGATTGGCCGGCGTCACCCCATGTGTCGGGGCGTGGCTGAGGGTCTTCAGTACAGGTGGCAATATTGTCACCTGCCTGCGCTCATCTCTGAAACCAGACCATGTAAACAGGCTGTTGTTTCTAGCGAACAATCTTTAACATGATGACATGAGCAGCCCTACCAGCATTTGCCATGGTGGCATAAACATTTTTATTTGGTCTTAAATTGTAGTTCAACATTTATTTCCTGTTACTTCTGGACCATGACGGTTGGCCAGCCTTCAACGTTTAACTGAGTGGAATATGTTGAATATGTTTTACCAAAATGTTGGCTATATGTTAAGGAGTTTTCAGTAGGTTGTGACAGTGCACTGCAACATATTTGATTTCATTTATTTTGGTCTAATTTATTTTTATTTATCATATTAATAATATATGTTTAGTATGGTTTTGGAAGTGCGCTCCAACATATTTGTTCTTGTTTATTGGTAAAATATTATTTGTTTTAAAGTTCAATAAATGGTCAATGAATAATCGTCAAAATAATCGTGATATCAATTATTGACCCAAATAATCGTGATTATGATTTTTGCCATAATCGCACAGCCCTAGGATGGTTTGTTTCACCAAACCATCTAGGAAAGCTCCATTGGAAGCCATTTGGAAAAGTATTTCAAAAATACTTGGCAGGTGATTGGATCAATCTGTCTATCACCTTCTATCATGGGCCACTTCTGATTGGTTAACAATGACTGGTACATGTGGAGCACAGTGTAAAGCCCTGCAGCTCTGTTTCCGTGCTGCAGTGCAAAGCTTATCATTGCTCCAGATCCGACTTCTGTGCCCCCCTTGTGTCCTTAAAAAGTGAATATGGATGTTAAGTCGCCGGTTCAAGTCCCAGACCAGACCTAAAAATGGAGTGTGGACTGCTACTTGGAGAGGTCCCAGTTCACCTCCTGCCCTGCTGTGGTGCCCTTGAGCAAGGCACCGGACATCCCCCTTCCCCCCCCCTCCCATTGCTCCCCGGGCGCTGTACAATAGCTGCCCACTGCTCCTAGTACTAGACTCCTGGTGCTAGACTCCTGGTGCTAGACTCCTGGTGCTAGACTCCTGGTGCTAGGATGGGTTAAAAGCAGAGAACACATGTCACTGTGTGTGCTGTGTGCTCTGCATGTGTGACCATTAAAGAGGGTTTCATCCCTCCCAATATTATTATTATTATTATTAAGATCAGTAAGAAATGCTGGTTTTCTCAGTAGTCAGTCAGAGGCAGTTTCCTCCTGCTGCTCCTTTTTTAGGAGCTCTGAGAGGAGGAGGGCTTCTGAAATATATATGCCATCTATTCTTATCTAGCATTAATGTAACATGTTTTGAAATCACACAGGCATAATTAATTTGACAACTCAAATGTCCGATTGATGTATTGTAGAGTGAGGTTGCAATAAACCACATTGACCTCGTCCCTGTCACTTTTTGATGAAATAATAACAAAACAAAGATGTCCTCAGATCGCATGACTCTGTGAAAAATGTTTTCCTCAGTATGTATTTAGAAATATTTGATTGTTGGTGTGTTTTTTGTTTGTGGAGAAAAGTTCATCAAATGTTTATCTTTTTTTGTCACAATTTAGAAGATGTTCAAGATGAAGGCACCTTGCTGCCACGCCTGACGCCCCAGTGCGCTTAACAGAACAAGCAGTCCTGACCTGGCAACATACGAATGGCCCAGGGAAGCCACCAGATTGATATTCAGGTTTTGCATGACCTGCGCCAGAAGTTCCCTGAAGTCCCAGAGGGTGTTGTCTCCCAGTGTGTTCTGCAGGTGGGCAAGTTCACACATCTGACTCCAGTAAAGATGATTCCTAGAAAGTAAAACCACCCTGATGATCTTTCGCTCATTGTAGATACTTATTGGTGCCAGCAGATTTGGTCCATTCGTAACAAGCAGCAAGTTAAACCATTTCATTGTAAATAGACATTTTTCAACAATATCCCGCTCTGTACAATCTTTATCACACTTCTTTGTTAATTAAAAACGGGTGTGAATGACACTGATATAAGCTCATTCTCTCTCTTTTTCCTTCAGAACAACAACAACCTGGACGCCTGCTGTGAATACTTGTCCCAGATCAGTCCGGGCTACCTGTACAGTGAAGAAGGACACCTCAGCTTCTCCGACGACCCCGGCTTCATTAGGCTTCGTAATCATATGACCCAGTTGAACCTGGGCCTGCAGTCTCAGAATGTGCATTTGGCCCCGGTTCGGGACAGCCTGAGAATGAACGGCAGTCGGACTCTGGCCCACAGCCTGAGTGACGGGCCCCTTCAGACAGGACAGGCCCCCAACAGTGACTTCTTTCAGCAGGAGCCACAGTCAGCCCCAGTGCAGGTGCCCTCCAGCATCAATGTGTTTGGTGTGATGGAGCCAACCCGTAAACCGCAGCCCCCCCAACACCTAGGACTCTACCCTCTGGGTGTCAAAGGAACAACTATGGGTGTCCAGCAGACCCCACGCTTCAATCCCATCACCGTGACGCTAGCCCCCCATATTCAGACAGGACGCAACACCCCCACTTCTCTGCACATACACGGCGGGCCCCCGTCGGGCCTCAACAGTCCACAGGGTAACTCCATCTATATCCGGCCCTATGTGAGCCAGTCTGCTGCGAGCCGGCAGAACCAGCCGCAGGGGGGCCGGGCCCAGTACAGCCCCACCTCCCAGCCCCAGCAGCAGATCTACCAGATCTCACACCCCTCCTCCCTGTCGGGCACCTGGTCTGGCCCTCAGCACGCCTCGTCCTCACATACCTCACAGCACCAGACCTCTCATGTCTACATGCCAATCAGCTCCCCCACAAACCCCCAGGCCCCCTGCATTCTTCCCACTGCAACCCAGGCCTCTTCCTCTGGTGTCTCCTCGTGCTCTTCCTCCTCCTCCTCCGTCATGCCCACCTCCCTATCGACCATCAGTCAGTACAACATCCAGAACATCTCCACCGGCCCCAGAAAGAATCAGATAGAGATTAAACTAGAATCCCCTCAGAGAAACAACTCCACGACCACGACAGCCGTGCTGCGGACGAGCAGCGGGGCCCGCTCCTCCTCCGCCTCTTCCTCTTGCCCTTCCTCTTCATCCACTTCAACTGGGGTGACTACGGTCCCCAGCACCCCTTTGTCCATCGGAGGCCCCGGTCTGAGCCGCAGCCAGCCCACTGTTTACATCTCTGCCAGCCCCCCTGCTGCGGCCCCAGCGGCCTGTGAGGAGGCGGCCTTGGCCCCTGCCGGTGCTCGATCCCAGCCCAAGTTTTACATTTCTGCTAATGCCTCCAGTGACGATAGTGGTGGTGGTAGGAACCCTCCCACAGTCTACATCTCAGCCAACCCTCCCATGCAGGGACCCTCAGGGGCCAGGAACATGGGGGGCCAAGTGAGCATGGGCCCTGCCTACATCCACCACCATCCACCTAAGTCCCGTGCCTCTTTAGGAGGGGGAGGCACAGCTTCCTCCCCACGTGTTGTGGTAACTCAGCCCAACACCAAGTACACTTTTAAAATCACAGTGTCCCCCAATAAGCCCCCGGCTGTGTCCCCTGGAGTCGTGTCCCCAACTTTTGAGCCCAACAACCTCCTCAGCCTCCCCGCCGACCACCACTTTGTTGAGCCCGACCCCCTCCACCTCTCCGACCCGCTGTCGCCTCACAGGGAGAGGCCGAGCGAGCCGCGCCGACTCAGCATGGGCTCTGACGACGCTGCGTACACACAAGGTGAGCACTTGAATGCAACAAACACACAAAACCATGGACAGAGGAAACATAAATCTAGTACTCATGGATCAGCTCTCATGCACACCAGTCTGCAGATAAAATGTTTAAATGCAGAGTAATCGACACAGCTTGGACCAAACACACAAAATGTGCAAGAATGGTCCACCTACAATGGTGTTGGTGGATAAGGCAGACTGCTCCGTGTGTGGTGTCGCTGTGCCGCTGTCACGTCTGTTCCTTGATCTCTGCGGCACCGACCAATTTGATATTCGTGTGACAGAAAAAATTCTAAAATAAAAAAAGTTTATTGTCCGGCCGCGGCCGAAAAATCAAGAAGCAACGTTAGTACGCTATAATCGATAATGGAGCGAGCGGCGAGCTACTGTAAAGCTGCCCAGCTCGCAATCGACGTGTTGGAGACCCCTGACCTCCATCATCTGATGTCTCAGAGCTGTTGGCTTCACTTTTATTGGTTGTTTAACAAATGTCAAGTGGCGTAAGAGTGCACATTGATAAGGGAGAAAATACCAGTTCCTAGAGCCATTTTAACTGAGTGATAGTATGCAGGGGTTTTCTTGCCAGCAGTGGGTCTAAAAGCTTTTTCCATCGCTTCCTGCCAAGAGTCATTTTACCATACAGTATACTGTGAGATTTGAAGTCGTTTCCCATAACATTGACTGTATTGTGTTTTTGAGCCAAACGTTGTGTACTTACTGCAGTCAGTAATGCTCTTTCAGTGCAGACAGTGCTCTGCATGTCTGTCAGATAAAGCAGAGGTGAGTGTGTCAGAGACGGCAGCGTGAGTGTCTGCTCTGAAACCCCTGAGACTGTTGAATTCTGTAGTGTGAGTCAAACGTGTCCGAGCACACTGCGTTTCCTTTTTTGGGCTTTTGACTGTATTACGTGTGAGTCACTGGCTGTGGATCCTACACTGCAGTGACTACCACCGAGAGGGGCTTCACAGCAGGGGGGCATGCTGCCACTGCTGCTGACCCTCATCAGACCCCTGTTTTCATCCTTTCTCTGCTCAGGCTTAGAAAAGTGAAAAGACGCGCCTGTCACCACATAACTGTTAAACAAACATACTAAAAGAGAATCGCAACAATAACAACTATAAAAATAAGACTTATAATAATAATAATAATGCAAACTCTGACAATATGACTGATGGTGTTAGTAGTGGGTGTAAAGCAGCATCCAATACTAATGCAGCGGTGAAGATGAAGGCTTATCATAGCTGATCGGAAGTCATGTCCAGTACCAGGACATTTGGACAAAGATCAAGTGTCCATCTCCCCATGATCTGTAAAGAGGTGTGTGTGTGTGTGTGTGTGTGTGTGTGTGTGTGTGTGTGTTGATCATTGAGTGTGGAGGAGGTGTGTGTGTGTGTTGATCATTGAGTGTGGAGGAGGTGTGTGTGTGTGTGTTGATCATTGAGTGTGGAGGTGTTGTGTGTGTTGATCATTGAGTGTGGAGGAGGTGTGTGTGTGTGTGTTGATCATTGAGTGTGTGGAGGTGTGTGTGTGTGTGTTGATCATTGAGTGTGGAGGAGGTGTGTGTGTGTGTGTTGATCATTGAGTGTGGAGGAGGTGTGTGTGTGTGATCATTGAGTGTGGAGGAGGTGTGTGTGTGTGTCGTTGATCATTGAGTGTGGAGGAGGTGTGTGTGTGTGTTGATCATTGAGTGTGGAGGAGGTGTGTGTGTGTGTTGATCATTGAGTGTGGAGGAGGTGTGTGTGTGTGTGTGTGTGTGTGTGTTGATCATTGAGTGTGGAGGAGGTGTGTGTGTGTGTGTGTGTTGATCATTGAGTGTGGAGGAGGTGTGTGTGTGTTGATCATTGAGTGTGGAGGAGGTGTGTGTGTGTCGTTGATCATTGAGTGTGGAGGAGGTGTGTGTGTGTGTGTTGATCATTGAGTGTGGAGGAGGTGTGTGTGTGTGTTGATCATTGAGTGTGGAGGAGTGTGTGTGTGTGTTGATCATTGAGTGTGGAGGAGGTGTGTGTGTGTGTGTTGATCATTGAGTGTGGAGGAGGTGTGTGTGTTGATCATTGAGTGTGGAGGAGGTGTGTGTGTGTGTTGATCATTGAGTGTGGAGGAGGTGTGTGTGTGTTGATCATTGAGTGTGGAAGAGGTGTGTCTGTGTGTGTGTTGATCATTGAGTGTGGAGGAGGTGTGTGTGTGTGTTGATCATTGAGTGTGGGGGAGGTGTGTGTGTGTGTGTTGATCATTGAGTGTGGAGGAGGTGTGTGTGTGTGTGTGTGTGTGTGTTGATCATTGAGTGTGGAGGAGGTGTGTGTGTGTGTGTTGATCATTGAGTGTGGAGGAGGTGTGTGTGTGTGTGTTGATCATTGAGTGTGGAGGAGGTGTGTGTGTGTTGATCATTGAGTGTGGAGGAGGTGTGTGTGTGTGTTGATCATTGGTGTGAGGAGGTGTTTGTGTGTGTTGATCATTGAGTGTGGAAGAGGTGTGTCTGTGTGTGTGTTGATCATTGAGTGTGGAGGAGGTGTGTGTGTGTGTTGATCATTGAGTGTGGAAGAGGTGTGTGTGTGTGTGTGTTGATCATTGAGTGTGGAGGAGGTGTGTGTGTGTGTGTGTGTTGATCATTGAGTGTGGAGGAGGTGTGTGTGTGTGTTGATCATTGAGTGTGGAGGAGGTGTGTGTGTTGATCATTGAGTGTGGAGGAGGTGTGTGTGTGTTGATCATTGAGTGTGGAGGAGGTGTGTGTGTGTGTGTTGATCATTGAGTGTGGAGGAGGTGTGTGTGTGTGTGTGTGTGTGTGTGTGTGTGATCATTGAGTGTGGAGGAGTGTGTGTGTGTGTGTGTGTGTGTTGATCATTGAGTGTGGAGGAGGTGTGTGTGTGTGTTGATCATTGAGTGTGGAGGAGGTGTGTGTGTGTCGTTGATCATTGAGTGTGGAGGAGGTGTGTGTGTGTGTGTTGATCATTGAGTGTGGAGGAGGTGTGTGTGTGTGTTGATCATTGAGTGTGGAGGATGTGTGTGTCGTTGATCATTGAGTGTGGAGGAGGTGTGTGTGTGTGTGTTGATCATTGAGTGTGGAGGAGGTGTGTGTGTGTGTCGTTGATCATTGAGTGGGGGGGGGGTGTGTGTGTTTGATCATTGAGTGTGGAGGAGGTTGTGTGTGTGTGTTGATCATTGAGTGTGGAGGAGGTGTGTGTGTGTGTTGATCATTGAGTGTGGAGGAGGTGTGTGTGTGTGTGTGTGTGTGTTGATCATTGAGTGTGGAGGAGGTGTGTGTGTGTGTGTGTGTGTGTTGATCATTGAGTGTGGAGGAGGTGTGTGTGTGTCGTTGATCATTGAGTGTGGAGGAGGTGTGTGTGTGTTGATCATTGAGTGTGGAGGAGGTGTGTGTGTGTGTTGATCATTGAGTGTGGAGGAGGTGTGTGTGTGTTGATCATTGAGTGTGGGAGGGGTGTGTGTGTGTGTTGATCATTGAGTGTGGAGGAGGTGTGTGTGTGTGTTGATCATTGAGTGTGGAGGAGGTGTGTGTGTGTGTTTGATCATTTAGTGTGGAGGAGGTGTGTGTGTGTGTGTCGTGATCATTGAGTGTGGAGGAGGTGTGTGTGTGTCGTTGATCATTGAGTGTGGAGGAGGTGTGTGTGTTGATCATTGAGTGTGGAGGAGGTGTGTGTGTGTGTGTGTGTTGATCATTGAGTGTCGGAGGGTGTGTGTGTGTGTTGATCATTGAGTGTGGAGGAGGTGTGTGTTGTTGATCATTGAGTGTGGAGGAGGTGTGTGTGTGTGTGTGATCATTGAGTGTGGGAGGAGTGTGTGTGTGTGTTGATCATTGAGTGTGGAGGAGGTGTGTGTGTGTTGATCATTTGAGTGTGGGAGGGTGTGTGTGGTGTTGATCATTAGTGTGGAGGTTTGGTGTGTGTGGTGTGATCATTGAGTGTGGAGGAGGTGTTGTGTGTGTTGAT